GGGGGGGGGGGGGGGGGGGGCGGCGGTGGTGGGGTTGGTTGGTTGACCAGCCAATCCCAAACTGTGCTTAAACACTAACCCACCACTTAGTGAAAAGGTCCAGTGGAACATTCTGCCCTTAAATAGCAAGTCTGCATCATTTGCAGGCTGGCTGGAATTCAGGAGTGGTTGTAACAGCGGCCTGGTGGCGGAGGAAACACGTTCCGCCAAATGTATTTTCCGCTGGTTTTGAAAATGTCCAGTTAGTTTGCGAAAAAAAACATAATTAATTCCAAAAGGGAAGGTGCCCTTTGAAATAGATTTATTTTACCAAGTACATTTGTTTTAAGAAATAGGCAAATGTTTTATATTATGTTAATCTGCGCTACAGAGCTACAGCTACACACTGAGTGTCACTGTGTTACTATAGCAACAACTGCTTTCATTTTCTGTTGGAAGAAAGAAGCTGTCCCATTCTTGTTTATACCCCCCAATCTTCAATCAAGGAGTGAACTTTGATAGCGAAGGGTTAGTGGTTAGGGACCGGTTTGGGATTGAGCCAGAGAGTGAGTGCCGAATTCTGCCACGTTTGTTCAATAAAAGAGATAACTTACATGTCTTAAGAGTGCAAAAGATCTGTTCCATCTTTTCCTTCTGTATGTACAGCAGGGAAAAGGGCCATACTATCCATTCCCTCACCTCAGGGTCAAACTGCAGAGGGATCTCAAAGACCGCAGTGTCACAGGTAAAGTAAACAAAAAATATTGCCGTCTAATTATATCCATGCCACACAGATATTATATTTAATTTTGCCCCATCGCTTAGATCAATCACTGTTGTTTTGGATATGCCGTATTCTTCATAACAGTAAAGTATAAATGGTATTTTCAAAGGAGATATAGGCCCCAGAAAATTCCTAAAGTTACAAGCTGGACTGATAGATGTACTTTATTTAACTCAATACTATTTATTTAAAACTCTAGTAAAGGAACCAATCACATCCCTTCACAAAGCTCCTTTAGGCTCAAAGGTGGCAGACATGTATGGCTATTAGTTATCGCCTTGCTTAAAAATAGCCTCCCACACTGTTCGTGATCTTACAGAAATAAAAACCCAAACAGGAAAGGATTCTTGTTAACATTTTACTTGTTATGATTTTTTTCTTCTCTCTTCAGCTACTATATAAAGTTGATGGGAATAGGAAATTATTAAGGTTCTGTAGTAAAGTTTTTTTCATGGGATAAGGGATGACTGATTATGCTTGTTTATATAAAGAACAGTTTCACAAATAAAGAAATCAGCCGGGGAATGTACAGTTATGTAACCAATAGAGTGAAGAAGGTTCTATAAAGGACTGAAGTTCTCACTTTTACTTTGGAATATAATGGTCAACAGCTCTAGCAAATGGGAGCAGGACATTTTGTTTTATCCTAAGCTCCCTTCTTTTCAATTTGCTCTTCAACATTTAGTATACACTGTTCAGTTCTCTCAAACATAGCCATCATTTTTCTTTCTTTCTGGTAAATAATATATTACAGGAACCACCGTAGTGAAGACAAACAGAGCTGCATTGAGTTACAGTTTACAAGTTATAATGCTTTTCCATGTCAAAAAAAAAGTAATATTCTTAAAGCATGCTATTGACATTAACAGAACATGATGATTTAAAACTTCACGAAGGTTTTGTAAGAACTAATGTTTTCTTGTTAGAAGATAATAATCATTAATCAATAGTCAATATCAGATCTCAGACTACATTTACTGCCAAGTTTATTAAGTGCAATATTTTGTTTATTTTACTAGCTTCTATTTACATTAAATGAATTACATCTATTCGGAACTGAAAATGTAATTTAATTTAACGTTTAACCTGTAACCAATCCCTTTTTTGTGTGGCACATGGTTATTTTTTTAAATAATTTCTGAAATTGATTTATCTATTATAATTTTTATTTGTTAATTGTCTGAAATAAATTCCTCTCAATTTTAAAATATTACATTGTCAGAAAGGTCCTCAATTGCACACCTACATGTCCTGCTCAACCTAGTGTTAATTTGGATGTACTGTATTAGCAAATGTTTCACTGTACTCTGTGTGACAAACTTAGCACCTTAAATGCAATCAGTTGTAACTATTGAGCTTCTTCTTGGAGAATGTTATCTATTTTATCCATCAGTGTAAAGTTCTGTTATATAGCAATAAAATACTGTATCCCCATGGTTCAATTTAAGCATGAATTAGAACTATATGGTTTGTATACAACAGAAGGCAAATTTCCTTAAATAGTTTATCTGCACTCCCGTTACACTATTATACGTTTTTCATTTGGATGTACATTTTAATACCAACAATTATCTTTTCAAAACCTAAAGCTTTTGTGGCAGACTTGACTAATATTCAGAACAGTTTTTACTCTCATCTACCAGCTCTCTAAAGAAAAATAATCCCACAGCATAATGTTGCCCCTACCATGTTTCTCTTTGGGTGTTTTCTTTTTCTGATGAAAAACACAGTTTTAACCCACATGTAGCTGGATAATAATGCATTGTTTTACAGTATTTGGAAATTTTAGTCCAGATATACAGTGAACATAATGATATATATATTTTTGTAGTAGTTTTCTTTATTGCTAGAACTTGCCAAAAACGTTATGTCCTTTAGGTAGTAAATCCAATACAGTGTGATACTTTTGATTCTTTTTTAACCTTAGGAAAATCCTACAATAAATTTTCATGCTATAGATTGCATTGTAAGCACACTGAAAACACCAAATAAAATATTTGTAATGATGGTCTTTCTTTTTAATGCTAAACAGGAAATGGTTTGGGTATCCGTGTGGTTGGAGGGAAGGAAGTTCCAGGTGGGAAGGGAGACATTGGTGCCTATGTTGCCAAAGTCCTACCTGGTGGAGCTGCAGAACAAACAGGAAAAATTCTTGAAGGTCAGTCACCTGCTGTATTTATTTTCTTTTAGCGCAGTATTAAACAACAGGCTACATAAAGTCAAATCCAAAAGTGGTTCAGCAAATTCACAATAAAGGCAGAATGTAAAATTAAAAGTACTTACCTTGTTTTAAACATAGATTTTTTCGAAGAGACTTAGTGTCCTATCTAAACTATTCCTTTATCTAAACGTGAACGAAGCAAACTCTTCAAAAAGATTTTTTTTAATGATACAGTAAATATGTTTGACAGTGTTGTGGTTTATAAGCAAAAAGATTTACAGCTTCAGATAAAAATACAATCATACGAAAGGGGGTTGCAGCTGACTAGATATCTCCCCTCTGGTAGAGATGACAGTCTGCCAGTACAAATCAGGCAAAGCAACCCCGAGATACGCCTTATCCCTGCTTTAGAACGCCGGATGTCTCCTAAGTTTTGCCGTGCTCGGTCAAGACGAGCCCTGAGTTATGGCTCGTGTCTCAGAGTGTCTCAGTCAAACCCAGTAATTTTCTCACTAACGGTGCCAGTGAAAATATGTTGAAGGAATAAGTAAATACATCCCTCATTTGCGGAAGAATCATTTTCCAACTCAAAGACCCAATGAAAATTCATTTTCAGTTTGAGGTTTAGTTAAGGTTTCACGGCTCTACAAAGTTTTGTACGGGTATTGAAAGTGAGACATGCTGAAGGCATCACTGGTCCTCCACCATACTAAACAAAGACAATAAGTCAATATCCCAAGATGCCTGCTAAATTCGTTCTCTGTAACTGGTTTGTAACAACCAGAGAAAAATTTAATATAACCTATCAAACTATTCAAACCTTCTGCATTTGAAGTAATGCAGAAGGTTTATATGAAATGATGTTGTGTTTTTGTTTTTTTTATAATGTTTTTAATTTAGTCCTTCCTTTCTAATATCTAATATCACTATGGACCACATATTCTTTATCACCGTTATAGGTAGCATGTCTAAATTCAGCTTTGCTCAATTTTACCTGGTGTGCATCCTGTTAAAGTGATGCGGTCTATTTATTCCATAGGTCCTAAATGATATCAAACTATACTACTATAGCAAATTTAAAAGTTGATTTTTTTTTCCTTCAACCTTCATCGGATCTCATCGGCTTTAAAACATAAGTCCAGCCTTAAAAAGTAACAGAGATTCATTATTTTTTTTCAGAAGTAGTGTAATCTTTTAAAGGGGTCATAGAAATATTATATAGGGTATTTGGTATTTGGGTATAGGGTGTGTAACATTGGTTGGGCTGAAAATGGCATATTTGCTGTCCTATGAGTCCTAATGCAAGCCTGGTTAAAGGCCCAATAGTGAAACAACAGGTTTTCTTCCTTTTATGGTATGCTCATGAATATTTAGATGAGCTGTGCGCTGATTGGTTGGTTTACAATGATAGAAGCTGCTGAGCAACGACACAAGCACTCACTCGTTAAAACATTAAATTGTTTATATGGTAGGGTGACCAGACGTCCTCTTTTTCTTGGAAATGTCCTACTTTTCATACCCCAAAGATGTCCGGGGAAAATTCAAAATTGTCTGGTCCACTACAGTGGGTCGACTTGGTCGACTACAGTGAAGCACATAGACGAAACACACCAGGCATTCGAACCGAGCCAACAGCTCCGGGGCTGGTCCGGGAACCCCAGATAACTGCCTGGAACATTGCATTTACACCCGTGGTTCTAGCTCATTTTTAATAGTGAACCTGCCTGTGTTGTAATTCTTGTAGAAGTAAACCCAACTGTAGGCTAAACAGCTTAACTGGTGTCTTACATCTACCTCTATTCATGGTCTTGGGCCATGAACCAGTGGGTTGGTCTGTACAGTATGTAAATTTCGGGGTGTGACAAAAGTACAAGCCAGAACCAAATAAGGCACCATCCCCGAGTTTACGTAAACTCTGGGCTTTGTTTGGATTTGCCCATTTTATGGTGGAAGTTTAGTGTTGTGAGATTTGCAGAGAAAGGAGGTGTCGATGGGGTTTGAACTTCCACGTCCATTTCACCCAGTGAAATATCATTATTCACAATGTAAACTCAGTTTTGCATTCTATGACCCCTTTAAAGTCTATTTGAAACCTAGGGTCCTCATTCAAGTTTTATACTGACTCGTGTCAATAAAAAGTTTGGCTTGCTTAAGAAAGTCCTAACATTGTATCAGCATTATATTCTGATTTGTTAAGTTTGGGCTTGGTTATTATTTTTTTTCCTCTGCTCCGGTTATATGGTGACAGCTGGCTTTGCAGTGTTGGGCAATTGGAAGAAGAGATTAATTGTTTATGAAATGTAAATTTGAGGTCCGTCAAACTTTGGAAGGAGGCTCTAAGGAGCCCCCTGACATTCTGTGTGTAAGAAATACCACAACAATAAAAAGTTAATTAAAATTTAAGTATTTTTACATACATTTTAAGGGGCAATCAATAAGCTGTCAGCACCAACTGTTCAAGAAAAATTCTTACAGTACATAGATTTTTTATTTTTTTTTTGCAATGTATTGTGGTCACATATTTAAAAGATAAACATTCCTATAAATATGTTCTAAGGTGTTAAAGAAATATCGTTGAAGTTACTATGGTGAACATGGTGCCAGTAATACTACAGTTTCATTTTACTGGAGATATCACAGATTACTGTTTATAGTCACCACTACTTTCCCACTTTAATACACTGATATATGACCTGTGATTTCACCTCCATTGACCTCTTACTGACACACGCTGACTGATGTAAAGCCGTTCTCTCTATTAAACTGGAATAAATTTGACCAGGTGTTATTGATTTCAAATGGCAGTAAAACATTTAAACCACCTCCCTTTCACTCTCACCCATAGTTACGTTATGATTCTTTGTACTGGTCAAACTGGCCTGAGTCATTTTAAAGGTGCCACACCAGTAAGATGTGGGCAGTAAGAGAAGTACTGCAGCCTGGTTTAGACCTGTGCATTGTGTTTAATCCATGCTCTGTTAAATGAAGCTTCTGTTTTTAATGTTTTTATGTATTACTATTATTCAGATAGATCAATAAGGCTCTAGTAAAATGCAATCAAATTATTAAATCAGAAGACGACAATAAAGTGATTTTAAACATTCCAGACTTTTTCTGCTGGTTTCACCATTTGCTGGATTAGTTCAAACATCAGTTTTGGCTTTAAGGTCCATTTTGAATGTCCTTTATTATAAAATAAAAGATTGTTTTTATATGTTTCTATGAACTTTACTTAATTTTTGCATTTCTGCAACCTAAAGAAAGACTGACACTAAGTTCAAAGCTGACAATACATTTTAAGCTCTATTTGGAAAGACTTTCCCTTTGCATCCCTTTTTATTTTAGTTCCCTACTGTAAGTGGTATGGAACTTACATTTTCAGTAATCTAAACAAATTAATGTTGAGTTTTCGGGTTATAAGACGTAGATTGGTAAAACGTTTTTTGGCATTGTTTGGAATTAAAACACCTGATCCTGAAAGTGACTAAACAAGAGAGACGATTATAGATTGTAGAAGAGACAGGAAAACACCATACCCTACTACCATCATGGGAGGAGAAGAGGAGGTTGTGGAGGAGAGTAAATACCTCAGTGTTCACCTGGTCAACAAACCCAATTGGAGGCGCAGCTGTGAAGCCATCTAAAGAAGCTCATCGAGCTGATACAGCAGGCCAGCTCTCTTCTTTTATGAAGAAGAATTTTTCATAAAAGGAATAACATTATAAACAACAGAGAACATCCTTTTTAGAAGATCATTAATCAACAACAGTGTCTTGTATCAAATGCTTCCCCAGATCTGCTGTAGAACACATCCTTCACATCTATAAATATCTACACTTAAAACCTTTTTGAAAACATCAACTAAAAAACTTTAAATTACTAGGATTTATTTTGCTAGAAATGCTAGAAAAAAAGTAAAATGGTGAAAAATAAAATGTGACATTGCATAATGCTGCCCAGGCATTGCTGTACCAGGCACTACTGCAAATGGTAGTTACTAGATCACTAAAAGAAACAAAATATAAATGATGAAAGCAGTTAGTTGTGTCTCATGTTTTTCTTTAGCTAAACTGATGATAAAATGTGAAATCTTTAAGAAGTGATCATTTGAGACTACAGTGTAGCCACCCTGTCAATCACACTCATGCAGCACGTGAGTATCGGCGCAAACCCAAGGCCCTCTTGATGAGCTGCTTCAATCCCTGTAAGTCATGTCCATGTAAGTGTGCAGGGTTGGAGATTGCTGTGACTTTGTGGTGCTGATTGGATTGCTGCCTCTGTCATTGCACAAAGCAATGTGTTAAGACTGCTTCTATTATATCTCCTTTACACCTTTAATGATTATATTTTACAAAATCACTGTCAGAGATCCTAAATAAGAAAAAAAAAACTCTGCAATTGACTTTTCTCCATAAAGAAAACATTCTTTGTTTTTTTAAGTTGTGGTTTGAAGTGAAATGTCTTAATTTTCCCCATGTAGAAATAGAAAAAGTAAACAAAGTATTTTGGATGGTGTCTCCATGTCCTAATAATTCATAGGAATGCAAGTCTTGGAGTGGAACGGTGTTTCTCTGACAGGGAAAACGTACGAGGAAGTTCAAGGATTGGTTGGACAGCTATGTAATGAGGCAGAAGTGTGTGTTAGACTGTAAGTAGAACTTTCTCTCTTTTCACTGACTGGGGATGTTTTTATATCCTCTTTTTACAGTTGTTCAAACCATATTTCTCTTCTTGTTCAAGAAAGATACATACCTTTTTTTTCTTTCTTTTTTTTAGTGATCTTAATATGCTGTCTGAGTCTGAGGAATCCCAGCACCTTGATTTACAGGAGCACAGCAAAGGTGATGCATAGTGATTTCTTATTTCCTCTTTTTGTGTTTTCCACCTCTCTATAGTCTCCCTGACTAAGTTATATAGTTGTAGCCTCTTTTATTGGTTGTCATTCAGAATTACAAAGGGCCAGATCGATGGTCAGTATTTGATGTTATGTTTGGTTTGTCTATTTATATTATTTTCTCTGTGTGGCTGTCTTTGAAGGGGAAAAACCTCCCAGGTCTCCAGGCGTAGATCCCAAACAGCTAGCAGCCGAGCTGCAGAAAGTGTCACAGCAGCAGGGTCCCATGTCTGCATCCTCTTCCAGCCTGGCAGCGCCAACCTCAGCGACATCTAGCCCCGGTCAGCCTGGATCCCCTTCTGTCAGCAAGAAACGCCACACCAGCAAGGCAAGTTAATTTGAAGGGATTTTAGAGAAATACATTAAATCCGGTTAATATACAGAAACAGTAAGTCTATGAGCGCTCGAGACATTAGTCAAGTTTCTTTTTTGGACAAACAATCTTGGCTGATAAAACGGATACTAATCTCAATCCAAACAATAAGACCTTTTTAACACTTTTTGGAATGACTATAACTATATCACTAAGAATCTCTACCAGCGTACTAGTCTCAACCATTTTGCTGAAGCTCTGGCTGCATGTTTAGGCTATTTGATCTCCTTGAAGTTCAGTCTGTATCCAAGTCTGTTGGCTATTACTTTTTTTAAATATTCACTATATTCCATTACCTTTCAATCAGCTCTGAATAGCTTTCCTGTCTGTGTGGAAAAATATTATCCTCACAGTTTGATGCTGCCACCCTCTTTCTGTATAAATGGGGGAGCTTTGTATAATGCTTTATACTGGAGGTCTTCAGCAGGGGGTCCGCAACCCCTAGGGGGTCCATGGAGGTACTGCATCGGGGTCACGAAAGTTTTGCTTGATTAGACTTTTTTTATATTCTGCCTGCAATTTTTTCCACTAATTGAAATGTCTTTAAATCCACATTCACATGAATTCAACATACTGTAGTAAACAGATAAATGGGGTCAGAAGATTTCTTTTAGTCATCAATGCACACATTCAGCGACACACAGGAGCTCTTTCAAGCTGGGCACCGTTTCATTCACAACACCTGTTCCATCAACCAGGAATCAGAATCGGAAATACTTTAATAATTCCAGGGTGAAATTACTTTAGTAACATTACTTAATCTGCAATAGAGTAAGTATAGGACCAGTTCGATATACGGTAACACAATTTCATACAATATATATAATTAGGGGGTCCTCGCTCCATCTTGCCATCAGTTTGGGGTCCTTGGCTTGGAAAACATTGAGGACCCCTGCTTTATACAATATTCACAATTAAACTGCTTTATAACTTCAGAGCTGTCTGGTTAATTTTTAGGTGTCCATGATGCTTTTTTTCTATAATCCTTTTAAGAAACTGCTGAGATCTTCACAGAGCAGCTGGATTTTTGCAAAGATTAAATTGTCTGATTAGAAATAAGAACCTGCAGGTATTTTGTTGCTGAATAAACATATCTTAAAGCAAAGGAGACTGAAAACAAAAGCATACTGAATCTTTACATTTTATTTCTAAAACTGCCATATTGTGGTGTGCCGCAAGAATATCCTAAAGGATATTAGGCTTGTGGTTATAATGTGACAACATATGGAAAATGTCCAAGAGGAAGACATGTTTGCATGATTGAAAGATCCTGTACAGTGTTTGCATAATGTCAAGAAAAGAGTAAAGTAAACAGACATAAATGTGAAATTAGATCCTAACATGAAATGATATACCAGTTGTGCCTCAAGCTGTGCAATAAACACATCACGGAACTGTACATGATGTACCATAGGCCCACCCACCATTGAACTCCCAACCTACACAGACTAATGCAGCACATTCTTAGTGTCCTGTTGTCTTTCTTTATAGACTACAGAGGGATCCAAAGCGCACTCTCATCCCATCTCTGGAGAGATACAGGTCTGTGAAATAAAACACTTTTATTGATTAAATATTTCTCCCACAAAAAGTGTTTCTGAAAGAATTTAAACTCAGGAAACATAAATGTAACTGAGACTATTTATGGGATATCAACTTTTGTTTTAACTGCTTATTTGTTTTTACAGCTTCAGATTCACTATGATAAGCAGCTGGGCAACTTGATAGTTCATGTCCTGCAAGCCAGAAACCTCGCACCGCGGGATAACAACGGCTACTCGGATCCATTTGTAAAAGTGTATCTGCTACCAGGGAGAGGGTGAGTCAGGGGGGTGGAAACATCAAGCACACCATAACTGCTTCAGCGAGGAAGAACATCTGAGGACACTGATGGTATAAATATTAGAACGACAAAAAGGATGTCGAATGTGGTGATTTAAAAGACCCTGCTTTTTATTCCGATTCAGAGCAGGAGTTAAATAACGTTTTAGGCTGGCTGATATTTTCTTGTCTGTGCTGCTCAGACAGCTACTTTGTTTGAAACAAAGCATAATTTTCATTCATTTTGAAATCGATTTAAAATTGATTTTGGCTTACCATTACATCTTTGGATGTGCAGCACATGCTCTTTCTTTGATATCAACTCCACGTCACTGTGAAACATTGAGTCCATCAGATTTTATGGTAAACAGGTTCCCTTCAATTCCCTTTTTACATTGATCAGCTTCCAATCAATGCTAAACACCATTAAGACTATGTAAATACCGTGAGGCTAAAAATTTACATGTGTTCAAGCTGTTGATAGATGTCACGCTGCAGGTATAAATGCAGACTAACTCAATAGTGCTCATATTTGCCTGCAATATGATCCACACACCCTCAGTAAGTCCAGGGCTGCCCTCTCACTGTGATAGCAATGTAATGCAATTTAGTCTTTTACCTTCTCTTATCTCTGAGAAAAAACTCTTTAGAATCCATTGAAAATGTATGATGATGGTAATAATGTGCAGCTCTTGGCATTTTGGCCAAGACTCTTTAAGATCTTTAGCTTTTAATGTGTGAAGATGCAGAAACTGCTGTGTAATTGTAGGGGAAGGTAGTGGAAAGACTTTAAAATTGTCAGGACAGGTTTCAACTACTGTTATACTGAGAGAGGGTTTGAGGACATAAACCCTTGTGCACATTCTCATGTATGTGCTTTCGGGCTATACATGAACTTTCACAGCTAATGGCACCGACTGCAATCCCCACTCAGACTTTGCAGTTTCATCACAGATCTCCTGACAACCAAAGTGAGGTTGTTGAGAACAATCACTTGAGGCACAGCAAGAGGTAAAATAAGAAAACATTTATTTTAATTTGTTCATAATAGACATGTTTTCTTTCAGTTGCTGATCTACAACAGTCCAAAATATCTGAATTTCTTTAAAAAATTATAATAATAACATGGGCAAAATACATGTGGAGGTCTGCAGCTTACTAGCAGGTTCTGGGTCACTTTTTCTATCCTGTATGCTGTGTTTTGGGCTCGATTTTTTGTTTTTTAATTCCTCAAACAGGTTTAAAAAAAATAGCTGCAACTTGAAACCTTCCATAACTAAATCTAAACAATGATTTTGCACATTTACCCTTTGATAAGAGATTCAACTCTAAGGGCTCAGCAAAGAATAACTGCTTATTTTTCATTTTCAAATCAGTGAAAAGTTTTCAGTATTGCCCACAGGTGCTTAAGTCCACCTCTCACAAGTCTTTGCTTTATCACGAATCACAAAGTAAAGCCAGATCTTTTATGAACCCCCATTCCCTGAAGCCCTCACAGTCCACTGAGACACTCTGATCGTCCTCCCTCCCTCTGACTATTGTTTCTGTATGTTGTTTTCTACATTTAATGCATGCTGGACCCCTCAGTCAGGTCATGGTTGTCCAGAATGCCAGGTATGTGACTTGCCCACTCTAGTTGTGTATTCGTAAAACAAACTGCTTGTCAGTTTGGCAGCTGGCCTAGTAGGTTGATTAGCTCAGTGTTCTAGTAACTCCTTTCATTCTGATGTTTTTTTTTTTTTTTTCATTATTGTTTTGTTATATTAACATTACTAATATCCTTAAGTTTTGGTGATGAAAATAAATTCCCATCCTTAACTTAGTTCATCTTACCAAATAGCTCAAAATACTTATATTCTCTCCTGATAGACGTTTTGTTGTCCTTGTTGACCATTGAAATTTGAACTTCCCTAACAATCAGCCCCAACTCCTTCAGTTTATCCTCGTATAGCATTTAAATTCCCTCTATAAATCCCCATTAGTCTCTCTAGTGTCATACCGCACCTACTGCACCCAGCTATACACCTGTGACTTTGCATAGAGTGGATTGTTCTTGTCTTTTCCAAACTAACTAAAATCTCATACCCAACAATCCTAAATCAAACCCTTTGCTCTGCAAAAAACATCCATGTGATCAGTCATTTATTTAGTTACTGTTTTCTTCTTTATGTTTGATATTTGTTTTAAAGTCATATTTTTAACCTATTTTGAAAACTTCCAGGCTTTGCTAATTTCTAAATAACCCCAATAAGTTTTGCTGACATTTTCCTAAATGCAGTAAAGCTTCAAATATTTGAGACCAAATGACTTGAACCACAAAATGGACTTTTTTGCAGCACACCCTGACATCAGTCCTTTCCTTCCATGCACGTAGGTCTTAACATTATTAAACCATCAAAAACACTTTTCATCTCTTTCATTACCTTCCTTCTAGTATCACATAGTGTCCCTCTTTAACCCAACAACTTTCCCCTGAGCCAGTGTGCTGGTTCGCCTAACTGTAAGTTATCCTGAGTCATAACAACATGTATATTTTGTGATGTCTTCCTACAGTGCTGAAAACAAGAGAAAAACCAAACATGCAGGCAAGAGCCTCAATCCTGAGTGGAACCAGACAGTCATCTATAAAAACATCCATCTGGAGCAGGTATTCAACATCCTTAGTCTTTTGCAATTTTTTTAGGCTTGGGTCAAGCGATGTGTCATGGTTCAATCCTGGCAGATCACTGCTATAAAAAAATTAGTATTTTATACCGTTACACCAGGCATCCCTAAAGTCGGTCCTCAAGGGCCGCTGTCTTGCAGGTTTTAGAACAGAGGTCACGGATTAGTTGACCGCAGTGTGGATCCGGACCCACCTGCTGGCTAAACCAGACCCAACCTGATTTAAAACATTTATAAACGCATGTTGACTGACGACAGTGTCTAACTTCCCTTGCGCCGCTTCTCCTGTTAATATGGTAAAGCCCTCCTGAGCGTCCGGACCAGGCTACACATGATACAAATTAGCCAATGAGCTGTGTTAGTTTGGGTCACTGCTGCGAGCCACTTTTAGACATCACAGGCAAACCCGTGGGAAACCGGGCGATGGGAAAGAAGAAGACAATGAAAAAAAGAAAGCAGAGAAAGTGTGGACTGCTGGAAGAGGAGGGGTGCATTAGTGGCAGAAAATTGAAATGGTGTGCTCAAAGATGACCCTGCGCATTTTGAGTATGTTTGGCTCAATCTACTGCTGTAAAGTAGGATTCTCCACCATGAACATAATAAAAATAAATATGGATCCAGGCTCAAAATGAGCACGTTGATATATTCTTGAGAATGGCTTTGTCTCCATTCAAACCCAGGTTTAAAGCCTTGCAGGGCAGCATAAAGCCCACTTCTCTCATTAACCATAAAAAAGAAAAAAACAACAACATTCAGTTCAGGTGTTTTTTTTTTTAAATATGTGATTCAGGAAATTGTCTATATACCAAACTGAACGATTGTTGTTCTCTACTTCAAAAAACACTTTGGATTTTAAAATGGAAAAATCCATCCAAATTTTTTTTTATTTTGTTTATTTTGTATTTAGAAATTCAATGTACAGCATGGATGCATAAAAACGTCATTTTATTTCAGTGTTAAATTCTGTTTAAAGTAAAAGACTATTATTAAAAATGTCTCTGAACCTTTATTAGTTGATGATTTTCTTTATTCGGCCCCCGCTGATTTTTAATTGGTTACCCCTGTTTTAGAGGTTCCCCTGCTTTAAAACAGCTGTTTATGATGATTACAATTGAGCAAAAGCCTGTTAATGAGCTTTTGATTAAAATCAGCTGTGCTCGAGGATCGTCTGTGGGGATGCCTGTGTTACACACTCAATACATTATGGACATTTATTTATAGATTTCTGGATGATAAGTGCCCCTAGGTCTTGATTAAATGACTTGTGTATCAATCAAATCAACTCTTTTAGCTATTGGGCATTCTGGTTTGTTTTGTTAAAAACATTAAAACTGTTTTCACAATGGTTCCAATACATTAGCACTTTAAAGTTTCTTCAATCTTTTTTTTTTTCTTTTTAAGAACTTCCCTCACATTTTAAAACTGGAAGCATTTTGCATATGAGGTTTAAGCAAAGAAATTAGATCTTAACAGGTTAAACATTTCTGATTTTCTCTAACTTTATTGCTGATGCATGCAGCAATGCATGCAGTAAGCATGCATTTGATATTTTAAACTATATGTCTTCCAGCTGAGAAAGAAGACTCTGGAAGTAAGCGTTTGGGACTATGATAAGGGCTCTTCTAATGATTTCTTAGGGGAGGTAAAGTTACCCTTTTTTTAAAATGTCTTTTTTGTTAAAATGTTAACTTAAATCTTGTTTAGCTGCTAACACGGTTTGGTTGCTTCCAGGTCCTTATAGATCTGTCAAACACAGCCCAGTTGGACAACATTCCTCGATGGCTTCCACTTAAAGAGCAAAGCGAAGGAGACCACCACAGACGTTCCCACTCAGGCCAGGGCCGTCATGGTTCCTCTAAACCCTCCTCGCAGCATTCGTCCCCTAAAATCACTGGCTCTGCACATGATGGTCAGGATTCCCCCAAATCATCTGTCACCAAGAGCCGAAGCCATGGGATCTTCCCAGATCCAGCCAAGGGTAGGAACATGGTGAAATTCCTTACCTGTATGTCATTCCCAAACTACTCTCTGTACCCAGCTACTTCCCTGCTATTCCTGCCCCCTCCACTCTGTATTGGGTATTCCTTTTCCTTGTGATTCTTTTTCCTCTCTTCTCTCTCTTTTTGCTATGTCTCTATCTCCCACGGTGTCAAACTGTGTTCTTTTTATCTGTTTGTAGTACCAGTATCCTTTGCTGCCCATTATTCCCCCACTTGTAGCTTCAGCTTCACGCTTTTTCTGTTTTGTCATGGTCTGCTTTATTGGTTGCCATAACATCATCCAGCTTGGAGGCTTAACCTTAGCTTCCGTCTGTCTTTCCTCTGCTACAGAGGACAACATGGCTGTGGAAGGCTTTGAATGCCTCCCTACTTTAACAAAAAATAATAATAAAATAACATTAAATTTATTGAGAATGCTCCATAGGCTCAGCACAGGTGCTATAGAGAAGGTCACAGCCTCTTCAGTTCAGTCAAGTAAAGAACAGTTTTTTTTTGGTAATTTGGTGAATCTGATTGTTTTAGACACACAGGTGCCCACAATCGAGAAATCCCACAGTAGTCCTGGCACATCGAAGCCTTCCTCATCCGGGGGCCAGAGCCAAAGCCCCAGCCATGGACACAGCCAGCACTCTCGCTCTCATGGCGCTTCACGCTCCAGCAAAAGTGCTGCAAAGCAGCACCATCAGGACAACAACACTGGAAGCAGCGGATCTGCTGCTGTAGCACGGGGCGAAGCCCAACAACAGTCACAGCAGCAGCCACCACAGCGCCTCCCACCAAGTAAACCAAGACGCAAATAGAGCCCACGCAGCATGGCCTCCTAACACTCATCTTTTTTCCCTTTTCATTTCTCCTTTTTCCTTTTTCATTTCTCCTTACTCTTAATCTCAATCTCAGCTTTTAGAAATTCAGGTCTTCTTCGATTTTTTTCCAGTGTGTAATCCTATATATATACTGTATATGTACACACATTTGGTCAGAATAAGCACCCTACCTACTTTATACACTGGAGCATCTCCTCTGATACGTTTCACCCCCTTTTGATAAACCCAAAGAGTTACAGAACCTTTTTATTATATTTGAAACTATTTTTGTTTTGTTTTTAACCAACTAATTGGATGTTTTTTCTTTTTTTATATATTATGTGATATTTTCCGAAAGCAATAAAACAAAATCACCCATACCCTATATTTACTCTACCCTTTACCCATGTTTCGCAAATGATAAAACCAACAATTTATTGAGGAAATGTCCATATTAATTATA